GCCCAGTATTCTTATACCATTTATGTATTTATTACCAACTGAAAACATCTGATTTGTTGTGTTTGTTTACATTAATGAATCTTCAGACACCAGAGTCAGACATGGAGTTCCTCAGGGTTCTGTGTTTGGCCCAGTATTCTTATACCATTTATGTATTTATTACCAACTGAAAACATTTATTTTTTTGTGTTTGTATATGTTACTGAATCTTCAGACACCAGAGCCAGTCATGGAGTTCCTCAGGGTTCTGTGTTTGGCCCAGTATTCTTATATCATTTATGTATTCATTACCAACTGAAAACATTTATTTTTTTTTGTGTTTGTATATGTTACTGAATCTTCAGACATCAGAGCCAGTCGTGGAGTTCCTCAGGGTTCAGTGTTTGGCCCAGTATTGTTACGGTTGTATATATATTTTTACCGATATAAACACACCATGATGTTATCTATTTAAAAAGACAAACCCGTTCCTCACAGCCTTCTTTTTCTCCACATTCTCTGCAGCTTCTGAAGCTTCAGCCACAACATTAAACCTGACCTGCAATCTTTATGTTGCCACACTGACCGGAGAACAGGACTGCAGCTTAGCTTCTCTGACTAAAGCTGAGGGATTTGGGCTGGAGATCCACACCTCCCGTTTACACACATCACACCAACACACACTGATCCTGCTCACGCCTGCAGTCCTGAGCAGCTGATCCAGAGGTGACCCTGTGACTCAACCACACACTGATACAATCACTGGTGAAAAGGATGGACGTTTTTACACTTGGTCCAGACCTGACTCACCAGGGTTTCCATTCACAAACACTGACAAAAAACAGCTAATTAGCGTCTTGCATTAGCTTTCAGCTTCTATATCAGCTTAGATAAGGATGAGAGCTTTATTTTAATGTCGTTTGGAGGATGGAATACCAGATTTTCTTAAGAATAATAAAGTCTTCACACCTTCTTTTATCCATTACTTATTCATACGCATTTGAAACGATGCAATAATAACATTAAACTCACGAGAAAACACAGCCTGATGTAACTGAACACACATGATGAAAGTGACAGAGGGCAGCAGAACCAGAACAGAAAGCGCCTCAGGCACGAACACGGCTCTAACATACAGCTGAGCCGGCAGAACGTCCGACACAGAGGAATGTTTCACCATAACATGAACAAAACACCTAACATGTTCAGGTTACATGTCTCACATCAWACAGATGTGTCCTGATGTTCTCCTCTTCTGAACTACAAAACGCTWTAAAGACTAGAATGAGCAGAAATATAGAAGCTGAAGAAGAAATAAAGTGTTAGAGCAGAGTTAGTTAGAGAMAACAGCTTTCATTTCCCACTGAAAATCAATAAAATATGAATAAAATATGAATAAAATATGAATAAAATGTACACAGACACATGTTGTGGTGTATTATTTCAGGAGTCTGCATTGCTTATAGCAGCAGGGCTGTAATTGTATGAGTGCTGAGTCAGCGTTCATTTTGTTTTTCATACTTTCTGCAGTATTTGTCTTAGTTTAGCTGTTTATAAATGAAAACGTTCAGCTCATTCAGGAAATTGTAGCAACATTTTCCCCACATTCAAACACCTTCAACTCCTCAAAACTTTCATTTTTGTTTTCTTATGGTGCTTTTACATTTCAGCTAACATTTTACTCCACACATTTAGCTTTTAGTTAATGTTTGACTTCTTTTTAGCTTTAGCATCTTAGCTTCAGYTTCTCCAGCAGAATTCAGTAAATCAGTTTCACTGTATAAAAACGTGGCTCAAAAGCTCGCCTTGAAATGCTGCCACATTTGTAAGGATCATGCATTTGTTAGATGAGAAGTATGCAGGTTGCTGAACAGCTTTCTGTTGTTGGTCTCTCCAGGTTCTGTTGACCAGGCGCTATAAGCAGCATTATTATTGTATTTATTTAATTTGTGTTTGGTTTTTATAGCTCTGATTGGTTGGTGGTCTGGGCATCACAATGTGTGGTCTCCTCACCTGGGCGAGATGTCACAGCCCTGCTGCATGAAGGCCCCGAGCGAGAACCAGAGAGAGTTAAAGATCCCGAAGTCRTTGCTGTGTTCTGGACTCTCCTTTTCCTTCTGCTGGTTCTGGTTCTGAGCCTGAGAGAAGCCTGGCAGGAGGAACCGTTCACAACATTAACCTGTGGAAGCTTTGGGTCAGACTGAAACAGGGGCGGGGCTAGACTTTTTTATAAGGGGTGGCAAAGGGGGTGGCCAAGGTGTTATCTAGTGGAAAACATTTAAAAATAAGTTTAGAAAAGTTATTTTTCTTCCCAGTGACAGGTTCCCTCTACACTTCATACAACAGTTTTATATTTTATTTGTTTTGCTCTAAMTRAACATCTTTTATTGCCAAATGCAAWCCCCGCCCCCACTTGTCAATCATTTGGGGGTGGCCAATCAGATGCCACCCCTCTGGCTCTGGATTGAAAAGATGATAAAGACACCTGGAGAGTGAGGGTCTTCAGAGGACGAAGTGGGCGGAGCTCGTCGAGACGAAGAGGGCGGAGCTGTTTCATCTTCATCATCAGAGTYGTCCCCCTGCCACTCGTAGGGGCTGAAACGACTCACCTGTAAATCGTAATGATCAAATAAGTAGTTTTTTATTTTTATATTTCTGAAGTACTGATTTATTTATTTAT